CGGCTGCCTCGCTTCCCATCCAGCTCCTTGCTTGTGGCCTGGGAAAGCAGTTGAGGACGGCCCAAAGCCTTGGGACCCTGCACCTGAGTGGGAGACCTGGAAGAGGCTCCTGGCTTTGGACTGGCTCAGTTCCAGCTGTTGCGGCTGCTTGGGGAGTGAACCATCGGAAGGAAGATCTTCCTCTCTGTATACCTGCCTTTTCAATCAAAATAAATATATCTTTAAAAAAGAAAAAGATTTACTTGAAAGGCAGAGCAAGAGAGCAAGAAAGAGATCTCCTATCCTCTGGCTCACTGTCTAAATGTCTACAGTGGCCAGGCCAAAGCCAGGAGCCAGGAGCTGCGTTTGGGTCTCCCATGTGGGTGCAGGGGGCTGGAGCCCAAGTACTTGAGCCATCCTCTTTTGCTTTCCCAGGTGTTTAGCAGGCAGCTAGATTGGAAGTAGAGCAGCTGTGACTCAAACTAGCACTCAGTACTATACGTAGTAACTTACCCTGCAACGCCCTATCACTAACCCCAAACTTAACTCTTTTTTAAAAAAATATTTATTTATTTTTATTGGAAAGGTAGATGTACAGAGAGGAAGAGAGACAGAGTTGAAGATCTTCTGTCTGATGGTTTACTCCCCAAGTGGCAGCAATTGCTGGAGCTGAGCCAATCTGAAGCCAAGAGCCAGGATTGTCTGAGTCTCCCACACGGGGGAAGGGTCCCAAGGCCTTGGGCCATCCTTGACTGCTTTCCGAAGCCACAACCAGGGAGTTGGATGGAAAGTGGAGCTGCTGGGATTAGAACTGGTGCCCATATGGGATCCCAGTGCACTCAAGGTGAGGACTTTAGCTACTACGCTATTGCGCCAGGCCCCAAACTTAACTTTTAATTCCACATTTCCCCAGTCTTGTTGAGTAAGTGGAAAAATGGGTGCCACCCGAGCAGGAATAGCCTGCCCAACACTCCTCTGGTTGGCATCCCTCAATGCCACCACTCATTCGCCCAGGAGGTGTAGCTGCTTGCACCTCACCACATCCCCAGCCAGCTCATCTCCTCCCCCCGCATCTGCTTCTCTCCTCCCAGCAGCCCCTGCCAGGCCCACCTTCTCCTCCTTCACCTCCACCTGTCCACTTCCTGGCTCTTGCTATGACAAACATAGTGAAGCAAAGCCTGGACTGTCCCAGAACCTTCCGAAGTCTGTATGTGCCTTTCTTCCTTAAGCAACAGTAACGCGATAAGGTGAGAGAAGGGACTCAGAGAGGCCAGGCCATCTGCCTGAAGTCAAACAGCTGAACTGTGGGGCCCCTAGTCCTGTCTTCTTTCTTTTCTCTGACTCGGACTTAAGATTCAGGAACCAGAGTTTTGGGGGGACTCAGTCTACACAACCCAGATTTTCTATCTCGGACCCAGTGGTTCCAACATTTGCATGGGAAACCAAGGCCCAAGTATACCTCTGTGACTGTGTCCTGCGTTTCCCTCCTTCCCCAGGTATCATCACATTGATGAAGTCCTCAAAGCATCGAATTCCAGGGACACAGCAGCTCACTAGGGCAAATGGCCAGCACCAGGCCACTGGGGCCTCCAAGAACATCTGAGGGTGGGTGTCTGCTAAGGTCACCAGGCTACCCTGCTTCCTATTCTGCTTCCTTCTTATTTTCTTTTTATTTTTTTAAGATTTACTTGTCTTTATTGGATAGGCTTATGTATAGAGAGGAGACAGAGAAAGATCTGACCACAAATTTACTTCCCAAGCAGGCACAATGACCAGGACTGAACTGATCCAAAGCCAGGAGCTAGGTCTTCTGGATCTCCCATGCGGGTGCACGGACCCAGTGTTTGGGCTGTCCTTGACTACCTTTCCAGGCCACAAGCAGAGAGCTGGATGGGAAATGGAGCAGCTAGGATACAAACCGGCACCCATATAGGATCCCAGGGTTTGCAAGGCAAGAATTTTAGCCACATAGCCACCATGCCAGATCCCCAGCTTCCCTCTAATATGCACCCTGAGAGGCAGCAGATGAAGCTCAAGCACCCAGGTCCCTGCCACCCACGTGAGACCTGGATGAAGCTCCTGGCTCTCACTTTTGCCTTGGACCAACCTTGTCCATGGTTCTTTTGGGGAGTGAACTAGCAGATGGAAGATCTCTTTGTCTCTCCCTTTCTCTATTTACAAATAAAATAAATCTTTAAACAAATCAAAATAGCCTGAGTGGAGGAGGAGGAGGGCTTACATTGCCGTCCCTGGCAATGTGGACATGAATCTCCAGCAATCCTGTTGAAGGGCCCCTGGCTGGCTCCTAGCTCAGCTGTACTTCTGCCCTGGAATCCCACCACGTTGTTCTCCCACTCCTGCCTCAGCAGTCCCTCCCTCCTTGGCGGGCCTGTCATTCTCATTCCCGTTCAGGTGGCGGAGGGACAGCCTACCGGAGCAGCCTGGAGAAGGTCCCAGCCTGGCCCTGTCAGAGAATCTCCCACAAGACTGAGGCACTGCCCACCCTGCCACCTGCCACAACCTTTTCTGAGGATGCAAATGGCAGAGTGGGATCACCCTGTCTTGGAATTCCGAGGGGTTCCTGAGTTGGGAACACTGGGCTGTGGGTGGGAGCAAAATCTATAGCGTAGCCCCCACCCACTCCGGGGAGGGAGCCCAGCTGCTCTGGGTCAGGCTGGCGGCAAAGGTGGGTGGACACACGCCTGGCATCCAGCCCCAGCCCTGGCTGCTCGTTAGCTCTGAGCCCTGCAGGCCAGTTCACTGCACCTTTAGGTGGTTTCCTCCTCTGTATGGTGCAGATAACGATCCCAGCTGCAGGAGGCCAGCAGAGATAAACCATCTAGGAGGCCCTGTGGAAAGTGGCCTGTGTTTATCCCACTGTAAAGTGCTGTGATTACCCTGGTGGGCTAGGGGCAGGGCCTCCTGGACTGACCTGAAATGTCACTCCCAGACAGGATGCCAGGTCCCCCAGGCTGGGGAGGGCCTGTTTCTACAGAGAACTAAACACTCAGCAAACAGTCCCCTCACTGGGGGAAGCGGGGACAGGAGATGGCGGGGGAGGGATGAGCTTTGTACAGCCCCAATCCATCTGTGCACCACACCCTGGTGTTGGCAGAGGGCGCAGACACAGTGAAAACAGCCTCCCTCCTGGGCACGGCTCCCACCTGCCCCTTCCTGCCAGGAAGCTCCCCACCAGGGGAAAATTCCTGCAGGGGACCTTGTTGGGTCAGGGGCAGTAGCCAGGGGAGGCAACTGGCAAGATTGAGTCTCACCTTCCCTGAGCCCAGCTGAGAGCAGATTCCTGGGACTCTCAAACTCCACAAATACACCTCTGAAAGCAATTCAGACTTGATGGCCTGAAGAACCAGAATGAGCTGTTCAGCAAAGGGGTGGCAAGGCCTTGGGAGCCCCAAGCCTGAGGGACTGAAGAGCTGTGACTGCAACCACTTTCCCCTAAAGAACAGTGAGGTTGGTAACAGGTGTTGCCCAAGTCCGCCTCCCTCCAAAGTGATGTCATGTTCACTCCCTGCTTTCTGGGTGCAAAATCCAACTCATTTGGTGTAGTCCAATGCTCAAGGTGGCAGAAATGGTGACCGGGCCACGACCTGCCTCTGAAGGCAGCCCCTGACTCACCCATGACAGTGCTGTCCATTAGTCTAAAAGAAGGACCTGCAGGGCTGGCAAGAGTGGCCGGGGCTCCTAGGCATGGTCCTAGTATGGTCCTAGCTCTCCGGTTGGTGTGTGTGAGGATGGCAGAACAGTGGCTGAGCCACCCAGGGAAGCTGCAGGGAGGAGGTTCCCCACTGCAGTGCAGGAAGGAGTGAGTATGTGGCTTGCCTGCCTGCCTGCCCGTTGTGGGTCCAGAGATTGAAAGGACACAAAGGGGAGAAAGATATAGCGCCAGCTCTGGGGCTCTGACTGTGTGCCCCCTGGACCCTGCTAGGCCACACTGGAAGAGCTTCTCTCCCAGGCTGTTGGTCTGGTGCTGGTGGCCCACTTCAGTGATAGCAAGTGACATTCAAGGTTGGGAGTGCAGGAGACCGATCAGTCAGAGCCCCACTGAGGTGGAGGGCTTTGGGCAGCGAGGGCTGGCACAGTGGTAACCTAGACAGCAGGAAGGGCAAGAGGGAAGCCCGTCTGTGGTCTTAGTGAGGACGGGCCTGCTGGCTGCTGAGGGCATTGACAGCCACTAGGGACCGGGCTGTCCCCTAAATCCTAGATAAACCTGGCTCTCTCTTTTCCTGGCCCCCAAGTGGCTTATCACAGAAACTGGGTTTACATTTAACCGCACGGGGCTCTGAGTCAGACATGTGGCTGTCGGAGGAGGGAGGCTGGGAGGGAAGGCGAAGCCTTGAGCAAGAAGCAGGGCACTCCCGCAGCACAGGCCCTGGGGCAGGTGTCAAAGGTGCCCAGGCAGAGGCTGGGAGCACTCTGCCCTGATGGCAGGGTCCAGGTGCCCCCTGAAAGTCCATTCCTGGGGAATGGTTCTCGGGGAAAGCCTACACTTTGCAAGTCAGGTGATCTGGTTATACATTACATGTGGTTTTGTTCCTTTTGCTATTCCTGTGCTTGCAGGCAAGTCCTGTTTTAAGGTTCCAGCCTTGACTCAGTCGTGCTGGGAGCGGCCAGTGAGGATCCAGGGTCCATGTCTGAGCAGTGAGAGCAGCAGAGCCAGAGAGAGGTTCCAGAGCCCCCACCTGCCTGCACCCAATGGCTGCCTTCTCTGCATCCAGAACCCCAGCTGACCTGTTCTTTTTACTTCAACAGAGGCTCCGTCCCTGCCAACCTTTAGGTTCTAGGGCCAAGGCTTCTTGGGACAGGAAAGAAGTGGCCACAGACTTGTCACAAAAGCCACACTGCCTCTGTCCCAGGTTTGCCGGGAGCAGGTCTGCCCAGCCCGTCTGGCCTGCCCATACCCTGATCCTGTGACCAGGCCAAAAAGCCCAGAAAAAGATTATACACTGGGCCAGAATTTAAAAATAATTATATTAATAATAAATATGTTAAATTACATTTAAAACAATAAATAGAAAAATAAACTGATAAATAAAATCAACAGGTACAAAATGTCTCAAAGTTCCAACGGAAAGAACTCACACAGACAGCTGAGGGACACGGCCACCGGGGGGCTGGGGGTGGGGAATGCGATCGGGAAGAGCCTTCACAGTTTGCAGCGAGGTGTCTTCCTCGCCCGGTCATCCCTCCTCTCTCCAGCACGGGAGACCAGGAGCCATGGTGGCTGACGTCTTTGGGGACTCCAGGCAGCGCAGAGAAGCGTCTGGTCCCCCCTCGAGACCTTGGCAAAGCGGCCCTGAGCCCAGGGCAGGAGTGTGAGGCGGGGGCTGGGCCGCGGTGGGGCGCAGGGCAATGATGACGGGGTGTCCCTACAGAGGCAGGTCGGTGCTGTTGTGCCGGGTTTTCCTGGCTGTGCCGTCGTCCCGGGGGAGGGCCCTCTGCAGGTTGGACATGGCCGCGGTCTTTTTGAGGTCAATCACGGCATAGGAGTCTGAGCTGCGGGCAGGGTGTGCAGTGGGCAGAGGGGACTGGGGAACCGAGGTGCTCTGGGGGCCTTTGGGGCGGTCCCCACCCCAGCCCTTGAGCTCCACCTGGATGTAGTTGAGCTGCCGTGGGGGCTCGGGGCCCGGGGGGCGGCGGAAATCAAAGTTGAAGACCCTTGGGGAGCCACGGCGGCGTGTTAGCGGCACAGGGAAGCTGCCATGGCTGTGGTTGGCGGCCCGAGTGCTGGTGGGCTTCTGCAGGGGGGTCTCGTCCTCCTCACCGTCGGGGAAGCCGTTAGAGGACGGCGTGAGCCCATCCCTCGAGTCCCCATCGTCCCCAGCCTCACCCCCAAGCTGCTGCGTTTGGCCTTCCCACACTGGGGGCAGCGGTGGCAGGTTCTCATAGTGCAACAGGGCGGCCCGGCGCTGGGCCAGGCCATTCCAGCCCGGCTCCTCCGGGCTCAGTCTCCAGCCAGCCCCTCGCCTCAGCCCCCCACCACAGCTGCCGAGGTTCTCGTAGGTGCACTTGGGCTGGGCAGGGCACTCAGAGGGGCCCTCATTGTTATTGTGGTGAGGGGGATCACGCAGGCTGGGGCAGAGCCCCTGGCACTTGACCATGTGCCGCCGAGCAGGGGTCGGGCCCAACACAAACTTCACCTGGCCCGGCTGCAGGAACACCTGTGGGTCCCGCTGCTCGGGGCCCTGGGCCTGAGCAGGGAAGGGGACCCGGCCCTCAGGCAGGGGCTGCAGGCAGTGGCGACTCCGGCGGTGGTCCTCCTCGCCGGCAGGGGTGTTGATGTAGGTATGGGACTGGGAGGAGAGAGAGTCCAGGTGCAGCAGAGAGAAGGGAGGGAGAGAGAGAGAGCAGAGAGGGACAGGATGAGAGGAGAGAAGTACAGGGAAAAGCAGCCGGAGTTTCCTCTTCCGCCTGGTCCTCCAAACCTTCCACAGAAGCTGCCTCCTTTTTGGGGGGACAGTAAGGGACCCTGTCAATTTGGTTTTGCTTGGGGATCCGTCCTGGGAGGTGGCCATGTCTCCTAGCCCCTGGGTGCAACCCCCCCTACCCAGCCTGGTCTGGCTGCCTGCTCACCTGCTCATCAGGGGCAATGAGTGCATGGGACTCTTCCCCGAGCGAGGGGTGCCGCAGGCTGCTTGTTGAGGGCTGTGGGGCTGCTGGGAATCGGGGGCCCTCGCCAGGGCAGCCAGGGAAGCCATTGGAGAAGCTGGAGACGCTGTAGCCTAGAGCTGGGTCAGGAGACAAGACCAGGAGAGTGGGACTTGAAGAACCACCTCACAGCCAGAGGGAACCACACTTGTGTCACGTCCTGGGGTTGCTCTGGTTGCAGGGAGATGCTGTAGGGGCCACCGGGAGGGTTGCCCACCCCACTCCCCGGGACCAGCAGTCCTCCTCAGGTCCCTCCTTCTCTCTGATCCCCAAGCCTGGCCTGCGCCTCGGAACCTAACTTGCAGCCTGTCTTGGTAGTCTCACTTGCCACTCCTCTCAGACACACCTTGCTGTCAGCTGTCAGCAGCCTGGGCCTTTCCTCCTAGACACCCCTGGGAGCTCCAGTGCAGGCCATCCAGCCGGTGCTCAGGCCAGACAGAGCGAGTGAGTGAGGTTGGAAGCCCCAGCCAGAGCATGGTCCTGGCCAGAGGTGCCTGACCCAGTGGCCAGGGAGGGAGGTGGGTACGGCCCAGCAGACAGAAGGAAGGCAGCAAAAGAGCTCCAGACTTCTGTTTCCATGGAAACCCAGCCTCTGCCTGTCTGTCCCCCACCCCCCCCAGGACTCCACAGCCTCGGCTCGAGTCATCTGATTGGCCCAGCCCCAGACTCGCCCATCCACGAGGGTGGTGCTGACAGGGTCCTGGGAGGGGCTCACTCAGCACCCCCACCGTCCCCGGCCCGCTCTACTTGAGCCTCTGAGACCCACTCTCCCAAAGTGCATCTGCATGTGGGCGGGAGGGGTTCCTCACCGCTGGGCGGCTGCGGGCCCCGCAGGAGGTCGAGCTCCGTGGGGTGGCTGTTGCGGGTGCTGATGACTGGCTCTTCCATCACATTGATGCTGTTGCACTGCATCAAGTCCTGAAGGAGGTTGAAAATTTCTTCAGCTCGGGAGCATTTGAAGGCAAATATTCCTGGAGAAGGAGGGGAAACAACCAGGCTGCCATGACCCCAGGGGCTGGGGAGGGGACGCCCACACCTCAGCAGAGACCCCAGGGGACCTTGGCAGGCACGGCTGACCCCAGGGGCCTGTCCCCACCCTGAGGACCCCTCCTGGTACCAGCAGGCTCCCAGAGCCCTGGGGACACCATCCTGCACCCACACGCTGCTGCTACCTTCTAGGATCACCCTCTCTTGCCCTACCCTGAGGTCATTTCACAAGGAGGCTTGTCCGTTTGGGATGTGGGGAGGCAGGGACAACATAACTCCAAATCAGGACAGGATTATATTATACACCCTGCCCTCCATGCCAACTCCTCTGCCTCCAACTCCCACACCGCAAAAAGCCCCACCCTATTCCCCTGGGTGCCAAGCAGAGGCTCTGAGTTCTCTGAGGACTGGAGGTGTGTCCTGTTCACCACTTATTCACTGGAGAGCTGGTCCCCCAGTGACTGGCCAGAGAGTACCCACGGTGGGCAGGCCCCTGGACTAACAGACATGGGCTCTGGAACAGGAGGGCCAGGCAGCACATATGTCAGTCAGCCTCCCAGCCGTGCCAGCTCAACACCACAGCCCCAAGCCCTGGGAGCTACATGGCTGGGCATGCCCTGGAGTGCTGGTCTGGCATGGGACACTGTACCCCTCCTTTCTGTAGCAGGGGGTCTGGGACCCAGGGATAGGTGATGCACAGATCCACTGCAAGGACACGACCAGGCGGCTGGGGCATGGGACAATGCTGACTAGTAGCACTGGGGCGGAACAACACCAGGTAGGCAAGAAGACCACCCTAGTAAGAAGGGCATTGCACTTCTTTTTAATGTTGAGTTCTGGGAGCTTCCAGAAGCATCTGCATACACCACAGGTTAGGAAAGATTGGCACAGGTTGGAGTTCTAGAAGACTTTGTTGAGGGTCTAGAGAGGATTTTCTGGGATCCCTATTGTAGCTGACACATCATCCTTGCCTCTCTCGCCTAAGCCTGTGTGCCTGCCCCTGCCTGCTTAGCGTCCAGGGTGCAACGTATGGAGGGGAAGGCTCCCCTAGCAGTTGTATCCCCCGGAGCTGCTTGGCTGGCAGCCTCACTCAGTGAGACACCACACACAATGTAATCCTAAACTGCGGTTACCATAATCCTATGCTGGATTCTTTATGTCGGGATCCCAAAAGATAAGCTCACATATGCCATTCCAACCCTGACGTCATGGAACAGGCCAGAAGCCTTTGACCTCTACTGCCACAGATGACATGGAGCAAAGATGAACCCCTCCAGGGTTACCCCATACATCTAGCACCCAGGAGTCTTGCTCCCCAAACCTCTCATTTCTAAGTCACTTAGCCAGAGCATTTGCTCACTGCTCCCCAGCTGCTGGGTGCTCAGTAAAAAGCTTGTTAAGGAGCAGGAGAGATCCTTGAAACTGCAGAAATGGGGGGAGGTTCTGCCACTTGCTCTAGTCAAGCAGGCTCTGGCCTGGGTGCTCTGGCTTTCTCCCATAGGTTCTATGATGAACTGGATTCACAAAGGGACCTAAGTGGGAGCTGTGACAATGACGGAGGAAGAAGTCATGGGCCTAGGTGTCTACTAGGTTACTCAAGAACAAGTCTACAAGACCCATCCCCTTTCTGGGCAACACCTGCCGCTGGGCTGCTCTTCTGAGGCTGTTCTCAAATTCCCCCACCAACCGCCCCCACAGTCCTGGGTTCATCTTGTGGGGGGTCCCCTCCCGGCACCCGAACCGGAGGGAGGTGGGTGGGTGAGGCAGGGCCAGCACTCACCCTGGCCCGTCTGACAACGGCGGCCACTCTCGAAGGAGAAGAGGTTGGAGTCATAGCCGTAGCGCCTCAGGCAGAGGTAGGGCCAGCGGACGGCCTCACGCCGACGCAGGTGCAGCACCAGCTCGCTCTGCGTCAGCTCCATCACCCCAGAGCCCAGCTCCACCCCCTCGTCATCCACATTGGTCACCTGGAGAGGAGAGGACAAAAAGCAGTGAGTGAGTCCAACGAGGGGCCCTCTGGCTGCCAGGGAGCAGTCAGATGCCCAGCTGGAGCTTGGGGACTTAAGGGTCTCCTCCAACCGTCCCCCCAACCTCCCTGACTCCAGTGGGGCTGCAAAGCAGTGTCATGGGCCTAGGGAAGTTGCCTGTGTAAACAATTCCTCTCACGGCTTCAGTTTTAGTATATGTGCTGCCAAAAACAAGCACAGCAGCAGCTTTATCAAATGCCCAGGGAGTGAAGAGGTTGACCTTCAAGGTGAGAAAGTTAAATGACCTCAGTGTCAGAATGTCTCAAGTGATCCAAGGACCAGAAAAATTGGGAAGGGGCTCTACTGTAAATTCAATACCTTAAGACCTTTCGGAAGGCAGCTATGCTCACCACCATACACCTTAAGACCTTTTGAAACTCAAAGCCAAGGCAGAACACACACAAACTGCCTCCCCAATGGAATGCCCTTGCTGACGGCGCCCTCTCCTGGTGGGCAGGAGAAGCACGCACCAGGTGGTCAAGGGCCGCAGGGGACAGAGACAAAGTCCCAGGGCTTCACCTTTGCGACTTAAAGCAAACAGCACACACTGATACAGTCACCATGTGCTAGACAACATGCTACATACTTTACATACATGAATGCATACATGTAGACTTGCTGGACTCCCACCCCCAAAGCGAATATACATAAATATACAAAAAACACCCTAGCAGGAGCAGATACTCTGAAAGCTCCATCTCTGCCACCATGTTACAGCGCCTCTTCATTCTTGGTAGGCTGGGTGGCCACAGGCCCAGGCGTGCAGAGGGATCCTGGGTACCTTGAACTTGGTGGGGTGGTTGTCTGGCACGCTGTCCCTGTTCAGGCAGCTGCAGCAGCTCCCCATGGTGTTAGAGCAGCCAGTCCGCCCTGGGGGAGAGGGAGAAGTGGCTCAGAGAAGCCATGCTCTGTGCTGGGCGGCTCAGAGATGCCACCTTGTCCCCACCTCTGTGTCCCTCCTTCAAGGTATTTGAAGGCTCACCGCAGAGCCAGACCTAGGGCAGACACACAACCGTTCATTCATGCTCAGACTGTCTGAGGATTCATGCTGGGTCAGGGATGAGAGCTCGGAGATGAACACGCAGTCCTGTCCCAGCTGCGTCTCATGCAGGTGCACCGCGATGGGGGAGGGGCCTTGGCAGGAGGATGCGCAGGCCAACCCAGAGCCCTGCACACGGGGTCCTCATCAGAGGGCATGAGCTCACCTGGGAGCCCCGGGCCCCGAGGCCTGAGCTTTGTCCGCTTCACCCTCCCTCTGGTCTACTCTTACCACCCTCCCAACAGGCATCTCAAGTTCATCTTCCTGATGCTCTCTTCAAACATACAGTTACATTGGGCTTCTAAAGACACACTCAGGGGACTGAAGGTTGACAACAGCATGGTTTTTAGAACCTAGATTGGGTGGCTCCTCATTAATACCAACGATGGCCTTCCGCCCCATGGACAGGGAGACCAGAAGCCTGACTCGCTCAGGGGCTTTTCCATCCAGCATGCAGGATCTCACAGGATTATGTGACAACAATCAAAGCTAATGCCCAGAATGGCGAGGAAATCTCTCTGGCTTGAGTGGTCTCAGGGAATAAGACATGAGCCAATCTCAATGGGCAATTGGGAGGGCTGCAACTTGCACAAGTCTCAAGTCCATAGAGTTGTCAACCTTCCAGAAAGACAGCAGAATGGACAACGCCTTGAACAATACAGTGACCTCCCAAGTTGGGAACCTGCAGATAATGGATTCCTTCAGCAGCTCTTACCTCACCCAGGCCATTGGGGTGCTGACCACGGGAGGGGCATGGGGAAGGAGTCCCACTTTATGCACCCCGTTCTTGGTGGGGGGTCATGGCAAACCTTCTGCAGAGAAATCGCCTGGAGCTCACCTAGCAGGAGAGACAGACACCACAGGTTAATGGAGACCCTTCCCACCGCCCCCATACACACCAGCCAAACAATGCTAACAAAACTGAAGCCTTGTCTGTGTCCCACTGGAGTGTGCCCCAGGACCTAACTAAACAGCAACAACAAAAGTGACACCCAGGGCATAGGGGGCCCTTATGCCTAGCCCAATTGGCTCAGAGGGAAAAACTCCCCTTGCACCCCGAGTTTGAAATCCAAAACCTCTAAGTCATCCTTCAATCAACACCCAACTGTCCCATTGCCTTTACAGAGAACTTGAACTTCACAAAGAGCTTTCTCACAAGGACACTCAGAGGGGCTGGCAAGGGCACTGCCTTCAGGTTCAGGAACCAACACTCCAGGGGACCGACACGCCAAGGACCAACTTTTGCTGCTGCTAAAGCATCTGGGAGGTTCTATCAGGTCCACCTCCTAAGTCTACCTCCAGCACCCCTGCTCCACCTCTTTAGTGTTTTAGCGGAATGTTCATACACTCAGAGTCTTCTGGCTTAACGTGTAAGATGAACATCATCAAAGGGGTCACTTCCCTTGTCTAGAACGAACCCCTGCCAGCTCCCCCTAGGAGGCTTGTTAGAATTTCTGTCATCCAAGCACTGAAGGGTGAACTGCAAACATGAATGTTCTTGCTATGCCCCAAAGTTAGGCCATCTGAGCTCCTGGGTGGATAAGCCAGGGCTCTGGAGTCCTCTGCCATCCCACTCTCCTGCACTGGCAAAGCAATGTGCCTCAGGGTCCCCGATGTCTTGGACCACTCCCAGGTCAAATGACACCCCCAAGCCCCTGCAAATCTGGGCCTGGCTCATTCTCTGGAAAGAGGAAGTAGGCTGTGCAGACTCAAAGACAGGTGTCTGGGAACTAGGAGTGGATCCAGAATTTGAAACCTGGCACTATAGGATGCAAGATGGGGGAGGTGCACTGGTCCTGTATGCAAGACACTGGGCCAGAAGGCCCACGGTAGGGCGACTCCATGGGGTGACACTGAGCCATAGGGACTCCAGTCTGCGATAGGTGCAGACTGGGGTAAGAATTAGAGGGGGTTATGGGAACTTGGGGTGACGTGGGCAATAATTATAGATCTGGGCAAGGTGCAAGGAGGACGAGGGATACGAACAGCAAGCACAAGGAGTGTCCAAGCGGTGGAAGCATTTGAGGCATCCGGGAGAGAACCGTGAGTCTGGGCAGAGAAGCGGGTTCGCAGGGTGAGCATGGGGGCTTCGAGGACTCCGAGGGATGCGGACGTGTGCGGAGGGGGGGAGGGGGAAAGGAGAGCGAGCACGGGGCTTGGGGAGCGAGAGGCAGGTTTAGGCTGCAGGATTGTCGGAGGGGGATTTCTAGACACCCATAAAGGAATCGAAAGGTCGGAGCAGCGTGTCTTAGTCCCCCGCCCCCGGCATCTCCGCCCCCAGCCCCCGGGGATCCCACCGTCCGCCCGCCCGCCCGCCCGCCCGCCCGCCCGGGTATTCCACGGAGGGAGCGGAGACTGCGGCGCGACACGGCCTCGGTGGAGCCGCCTCGTCCCCGCCCCGCCGCGCCCCGACTCACATCGCCCCGCGGCCCGGGCGGCGCCGGGCCCCGCTCCCGGGTCCCGCTGCAGCAGCCGCCGCCCGCCCGGAGCCAAGGCCGCCCCGCCCCGCCCCGCGGCCGAGGGGTCGGAGGTCACCGGCAGCACCAACGAGACGCTGCGGGCGGGCGGGCGGACCCGAGCGGGGGCGACCGGCGCACAGCCTAGAAGGTCCCTTTGGAGGACTTTGCAGTCGGCAGCAGGGAGCATGCGCAGACGCCAGAGGGCGCTCCGGGCCAGCTGCTGAGCCAGCCCGGCGGGGCGGGGCCTAGCGGACGGGGGCGGGGTCTAGCGGACGGGAGGCGGGGCTTGCCCGGAGATCCCAGAGGGGGCTGGGAGAGGCGGGGAGCTTGAAAGATTAGGGGTGAGGCAGTGAAAGGGCCGAAGTGGGGAAGGGCAGGATCGGGGGACCCTGGAATCGGGCTGAGGAAAGAGGAAGACGTGTGTGTGTGGGAAACCCTGTGGACGGGCGGGGAGGGGCGGAACTGGAGGAAACAGGGAGGAGACGGGGTTAAGGGACCCCGGGACCAGCGCCGGGAAGGGGCTGCAGGCGGCTCGCGAGGCGGCGGACGCAGCCTGGGCCACGGCCTGTGCGTGCGGAGACACAGGGGAGCCCTGCGCGTCCACCCTGAGAGCCCACGGCTGCTTTCCCGCCGTCTGCAGCTCCAAGCTCCTCTCCCCAGCAGCCGGGGACCGCTGTGGGTGTGGAGGAAGGAAGGGCCGCGCCGTGAGAGCGAGGGTAAGAGAATAAGAGCCCAGCGGAGACCCAGCCCCTTCCCCCTGGGGAACGAGAAATTCACTGCAGAAAGTGGACCCTCCCAAGTTGTTGACTCTGGGAAATGTGTGGAAGGGTCAGTCCTTGGCGGGACCAGGTGCTGCCCACGCTTCTCTCGCTGCTGTCCCCGGGAACTTTCCCGCACCTCCTGAGCCCCAGTCCCTCTGGCCCCTAGGGCTCTCCTCTTGCGGGTGGGCTGCGGGGGTGGAGCCCCTGAGCGCGGCTGCACCTGTTTGGAGAGGGAGAGGGAGTTCAGGCCAGTCGCTGGGAGCTGGGGGCGAGGAGGGGGGTGTGGTAGGAAGGAAGGAGGGGTGCTGGGTGGGGGCGGAGAAGGCGGAAGGGTGCAGGGTGGCAGGTGGACAATTGGATTGCAAACTAGAGCTAAGCTGGGAGAGGGTGCAGATCGCCCCGTGGGACTTCAGATGCCACACCAGCTCCCTTGCTGCCTGGAGCAGGGAGAGTGCTGTTTGCTAGGCGGAGTGGCTACTCCCAGCCTTGCAAGTGAGCAGCCCATCCTGGCCACCTTCCACAGGAAACCTGACCTGAGGGACAGAACAGGAAGGAAGCAGGTGGGTGTGGAGCCAGGAAGGAGGGAGGGTGGCACAGGACATTTGAAGGGCGGCAGGGGTGGGGTGGGAGGTTCAGAGTTGGGGAAACAAAGAGTATTAACTGTTAGGGTGCAATGCTGGCCCCAGCCCAAGGGCACCAGGGGTTTGAAGATGGCCTCCAGTGCCTAGTGCTGTCAGAATCCACATCTCTGCTGGGGAGGGGCAGGGGGACCCTCTTCCTACTGCTTCCCCTTGTGGTCTAGTGTGGTCTTGGGCAAGTCAGTGGATTCCAGTTTATTTCAACTGCAGAAGAGAATGGAGATTACGGAGGACAGCCTACAGTACATAAAGTAGTAGCCCAGTCCCTGGCTTCATAGAGTAGTTTGCTGGGGTTGGGTTTTTTGTTTTTGCCAGAATGTGTGTATATCTGCTAGGAGCTCTGGTCCCATTCTGCCTGCTCTCCCTCCTACCTACTAGCCTGGGGGGTCATTGGGGTGGGGAGGGGAGGACCAGGCAGGGGCGGGGGGAGGACAGGCAGTTCAGGGGCTCTCCTGTTGCAGGCCTCCTCTCCACCTCCATCTCACTCTTGGGAGAACCCAGAGGGTTGAATTTTGGAAACTCTCAGGCTGAAAGCTCTGCTTCTGTTACCTTGGGTGTATAGTTCATGCTCACTGGTCCTCAGCTTACCCTCCTGGGAAATGGGCACAATGCCATGTAGACTGTGTGGTTGTTGGGAGGACCAGGACAGGCAGTGCCTGGGAAGGCCTCCACAGTGCTCCTGGTAAGGAAGGATTCTTCTTGGTGCTCCAGCAGCCTTTGCCAGCAATGTCAGAGGCCAGCCTGATGTCTGGGGAGCCAGGCCTACCAGTAGTCAGCAGGGACAGTGACTTGGACCAACTCCCAGGACCTGACCCTGAGGACCATCCTGGGGCGGTAAGAGGGCTGCTGGGGGCGTTCTGAGGCCCTCAGGGTGCTGCCTCTCTTCTTCCCTGCCCTTTGCTGGGAGGTGGCTGCCTCTATACTTGCACCATGCCCTTGCACCCTTTGATTTTCAGGAGCTCCTTCCTCTCCCGCCTCCTGAGGACCCTGAACTTTCCAAGGGGGGAGGGGTGGGCTACATCTTCAAAGCTTTGATTCTGAGGAGCTAGGAGTGGTTTGGGGCATAAGAAGGGAGGCTGCTTGCAAGCAGGGGTGTAGGCAGGGGTCAAGGCTTGCACTCAGCAAGGATCAGGGAAGGCAGGGAGAGCCTCCCAACACCGACAGGGGTGGAGAGATGGATGTTCAGAATTTGCTCTGCACGGGAGGGGAGGGTGGCCGTGGCGTGCAGGGGAGCCAAGCAACCCCTCCCTGTCTGCTGTCTCCTCAGGCTGCTGCAGCTCTGAGCTCAGGTCCCCGTGGTCTGGACACCCACCAAGCCTGCAGCTGGCCCGAGCTCCGGACCCTCCTGCAACAACTGCCCCCACAAGACAGTGACGTGGGTCCCATCCCACTTGCCCTGTCTCCTCTCCCTTGGCCCTGGCTTCCCTCACTGTGGGAAAGAACCTGGGTCCCAAAGTCACCCCGATGTCCCATCTGCACAATTGGCATTGTCACATCGGCTATGCATACTCTGTGGTGGCTTGTTTTCGAGCAAATGGGCAATGGATGTGAGCTGCTTTGGTGCCTGGCTGTGGGATGCTCTGATGTGCAGCATGGTGGTTTGAGCAGACCAAGGCTCACGCTTCAGTTGGGGAGGTATTAGAGAAAGCAGATGAGTGGAACTTGATGCCGGACTCTGTCACTGAGTGCAAGGACCAGAAATGTGGAGACAGGGCCAAGTGCTCAGAGTGTTGGACCCTGGGTGAGACCAGGGTGGGGTGGGGTGGGGTGGAGGTGGCCTTTGGAGCACTCATTTCCATGATTCGCTTAGTGCCCTCACTTCCCTGGGGTTTTGTGGCCTTTCTCTAAGCAGCTATAAGTCCCTCTGTTCAGCCGGCCCCATGCTTGCTAGCTCAAGGCTTGTGTCCCACAGGAGCGCTATTGCCTGGCCCTTGGGAAGGAGGAGCAGGCTGAGCTGCAGCTCTTCCATGCCCAGCGGAAACAGGAGGCCCTGGGGCAGGGAGTGGCCCGCCTGGTCCCTCCCCAGCTGGAAGGATATACCTGTGAGAAGGTTTGGAGAACCACCCCCCCAAAGCAAGTCTGGGCCCTCCTTCTGGGACTGTGGCAGCTATTGGCAACAGGGGCACCAACCTGGAGAGTTTTTGGTGGACAGGCTGGAGTTGAGAGGGACAAAGGTACGGGCGGGGAACAGGAAGCCAGGAGGGTTCCAGCTCTGACCAGTCCCATGTGGCCACCCGACAGTGCAGGAAGCAGCTGAAGCCAGGGGACTACGGGGTATTTGCGGCCCGGGCAGGAGAGCGGCACTGCTGGCATCGGCCTTGCTTTGCCTGCCAGGTCTGCGGCCAGGCCTTGATAAACCTCATCTACTTCTACCACGATGGGCATCTCTACTGTGGCCGACATCACGCCGAACTGCTGCGACCACGCTGCCCAGCTTGTGACCAGGTCCAGCATGGAGTGGGCGGCAGAGCTTTGGGTGGGCCACCATCCAGCAGGGCAGGATCTTATGGGGTGGCCTCCTAGGCTGTATGGGGGAGCAAGGAAGAAAGGAGTAAAAACCAGCCTCAGGGCCCAGCCTGTCCTCTGGGCATGCAGACTGTTCCCTACTCTGCTGCTCTCTCACTGCAAGCAGAGTCCTTCCAAGTTCTTGGGTGCAGTTTCTCAGGATTCTTAGAATTCCACTTGGTCTTTGGGATGGGGCTGGAAGACCCATTTCTGTCTGTCAGTGTAAGAGGCAGCAGCCAAGGTCACCAGCCAGGGTCGCAGGCATTTGGGGCCGTGCCACCTGTCGCTTGTGGGATCCTAGCCAAGCCACTCAGCCCTCCCCGCGCCTGAGAGCAACCGATCACATGGGGATGTCTGTAGACGTGCTTTGGCGTTAACTGGGTTTAAGGCGTGGCTACTGGATGAATGAATGAGGGAATGAATGAATGAATGAACAAACCCCTCGGCTCACCCTCTTCTAGCTCATCTTCTCCCGGCGCTGCACCGAGGCGGAGGGACGGCACTGGCACGAGAACCACTTCTGCTGCCAGGACTGCGCCGGGCCCCTGTGTGGAGGCCGTTATGCCCTGCCGGGGGGCAGCCCCTGTTGTCCCAGTTGCTTTGAGAGCCGTTACTCGGATGCGGGCTCCAGCAGGCCCCTGGAAGGGCTGGCGACCCTTGGTATGGGGGGGTGGGAAGAAGGTGCAGATCCGAGCCGCAGTGGGGGTAGTTTGGGGTTGTGGTGGGGGGTCGCCCTGAGCTGAGACCCTCGCCCTGGTCCCACGCTATCTCCTCCCTCCAGCAGCGCCCCCCGCCCCTCCCTCTCCACCGTGCCCCCCACCTCCCCCGGACGCGAGCCTCCGGGCCCGCAGCTCTCACCGCGCGTCCCTGGCCGGAGCGCTCCAAGGGCCTCCCGGACCCACCCCACGCCGCGGTCGGGGCTGCGGCGCCCGGCTGGCTCCCGGGAGGGGGACGCGGCCGCCCTCTGGTGGGCGGAAGCGGGAGAGGCGGGGGACCCCCCGAGAGGACTGGCGGGGGCGGGGCGGGAGGCTGGGTCCCCAAATGTCAGTCCCAGGGGTGAGCGTTTCTGACCTGCCCCTCCCCAGGGGAGGCGGGACCCGACGGGAGCAAACGGAGGGATGGCACCTCGCTGGACGCCTTGAGCAGCCACGAAACACCCTTTCTCGTCGCCAGCTCCAACCTGGAGGCCCAGCAGGGGCTGCTAGGATCCTGCCCGGAAGAGCCACAGTGCCAAGTTGGGGCCGAGGGACCCTCAAAATCGGGGCAAGACCGACTGCAGATGCCCCGTGATCCCAAAGAGGATGCCCCCTGCTCCACCTGCTCCTCCTCCTCGGACTCAGAACCAGAAGGCTTTTTCTTCGGCCAGCCTCTTCCCCGGTCCCGAAATGCCCCCGGACGCCCCGAAGCGAGGGACAACGACACCCCTAGGAAGCACTGCACCCTTTCCTAGTGGCCCAGCAGAGAATAGGGTGGGAGCGATCCTGTAAGGCGAGAGAAAAAGGCGCTCCTTCCCTTAGTAAACTCGTAGGGTGAAAGAATTCGGAGACAAGCCGGAGTAGTGGCGGCGAGCTTACAAACTTGGGGTGCGCCCTCTGTAAGCGCCGCGCGTTCTACGACTTTCGATGGAGACTTTTTCTGGGAACCCCATTCCGCCTCCCAAAGCTACGCTTTTCCGGGCAGCCCCCTGAGGCCGGGGCAGACCCCGGAGCTCGGGAAGCGATCGTCCTCAGCGCGTGTGGTGGCCGGCGGCTGCAGAGCCGGAGCCCGGGAAGGCGGGGCGTCCGACATGGGCCGCGCGCTCTGCCGGCGGAAGGGCGGGGCCGGAAGTTGCGTTGTGGTGGCGCCGCTGCAGCGAGCGCAGTGCTGCAGGGCCAGGGCTGCGTGCCGGAGGTTGCTGCTATGGCTTCCAGCAGCGGGGCTGGGAAGCCCTCCGGGTCCGCGAACGAGGCTCCCGAAATCCCCGACAACGTGGGAGACTGGCTTCGGGGCGTCTACCGCTTCGCTACTGACAGGAATGATTTCCGGAGGTAATTGAGCCAGGTGTCGTGGTGCGTCTCTCGCCTTTCCCCTTCCTTGCTCGGCTGGCTCAACCCACTGCCCACATGGTGGCCTTTCCTGGGGTCCTTGACCGAGAGTTCCCTTGTGGGGTCGGGGCTAAAGCAATCTCATACTTGGTAAGAAACTAATTAGGGGGACTGAGTAAGAGAAGGCACGGGAATATGTAAATAGACTTTTGGGTGCTGGCCTAGGGTTGAATTGGTCTCTGCGTTTGATCGTTCCCCTGGTAGGCATGGAAATGAACTCCAGATTCCCGTGTGAGTTTTGGGCGACCTCTTGTAACACCTCAGGAAGGAGGTGAGGCTCAGCTACAAAGCTGCTGAATAATGGAACACATTGTTATTTTCAGGAACTTGATCCTCAACTTGGGACTTTTTGCTGCAGGCGTGTGGCTGGCCAGGAACTTGAGTGACATCGACCTCATGGCACCCCAGCCAGGGGTGTAGCTGAGCAGGTAAAAGCACTGACAGCTCTGCATGCTGTAGGAATCCTAGAGACGGGGGCTTGCTGAAAACATGTAGGAGAGACTTGATGTTCTATTTCAAGATCTCTTAACCAGTTCCCTCCAGTGCCTTACTTGCCTAATATCGCCGGTTGTGTCCTGTTGTCTGATTGCAGACAAATGGAATTGCTGTGCTGTACTCGGACCTTCCAGAAACAGTCAGCCATCTGTGACACGCCTGGATGGCAGCTCAGGTTGGGTGCTGTGGGGAGCCTCCCCTTCCCTGCCTGCTCTTCCTTGAGTCCACTCAGCACTCTGCTCTCTGGTGGGCGGCCAGGCTGCAGCCAGGGTGTTGCGTCTGCTCTGTAACATCCTGGACGTGGTCCCTGCGGTTTTGCACCGCCTCGTCCTGAGGAGTGATGATGGTGTCTTAACCAATATGTGAAATAAAGACTGCGTACAAGGACAGCCGTTTTCTTCTTTTAATAAGAAACTTCTGCTTACAAAAAACAAGGTGTAAAAAGTCAAGATTTACAAAAATCATAAAAACGTGATTTATATTTCATACTCAATCAGGGACAAGATCTAAACCTGGATTGTAATGGAGATGGTTTGCTTCATTTCAAAAAGAAAGACGAAACGGAAATGGTAAAACATCCTGTGCTGATGTTGCCTGGGCACGGAGCTTGTCCTTGAGACGTTTGCACTGTGGGGTGGTGCTGGGGGGAGCAACCGTTGGGTGTTGCATAGTTTGTAAGTGCACGGGGGCTTCGTTGCTGCAAGAGAAAGGTGTGGCAGAAGGCAGTGGCTATACAGTGCCACTGCTGAGGAGGCTGCCTCCTGTGCCAACACTTAGGTGTTTTTTAACCCTAAGTTCTAGGTAGTACCACTACCTGAGGCTTTGCAGTCTTTGGAAATTAAAAATGTAAAGGGACTGACATGGAAAGACTCAGAAAGCTCTAGAAAGACAGAGACAGGGTCCCTGGGGCAGGTCCCCCCTCCCCCCACGAACTTCTACTAGTAGGTGTTTAAAAAAGTTTTTATGTGCCAGCTCTTTAGAGCTGGTGCGGGGTTAAAGGACATGACTTGGAAGGCAGGTTGGGCTCCTTTCAGCAGCCTACTATTACAGTTGACAGAGGCTGCTTCTCCCAGTGTACTCACCAAACAGTATAGATCTCACTAAACAAGTTGAGAATTGGATTAACATATGTTAAAAACAAAAACAAAAAAAACCCACCTTTCTCTTGTATTTGTATCAGATTTGTCCTGATAAGTGAATGGAGTTTTGAGCTTCTGTCATTTCAGGCTGAAGGACCTCTGCCGTCCACACTGGAGACAGGGGTCCAAGCTAACTGTCCACATGCGGGACCACAGAGCTTACACTTGAAGCCCTCAACCCCTCCAGTGGTGACCAGAAGGAAGTTTACAAGTCATGGCATAGATGCTAAACTACTGACAAGAAATAGCAGTACTTCCCAGGCCTTACAGCAAGGAAACTTAGATCCTGCAGGTCTTTTTCCTGATCTATTCCCTGGTGTGAAAAGTTTAATTTAGTAAGATTTCCAAGTCTGAAAATGCAAATCCAGCCTGCATTAGGAAGGACATAGCAGTTTGCAAAAGCCCAATACAAGTTTCTCAAAATGCAATGATTTAGCTTCAAGTGCTAGTGTTTTCGGTGGGTTTTTAAAGCCATAATGCTGGTTTGGCTAATGTTTCATTTACTGACTTAATTCCTTGGTGATGTAGTAATTTGAATCTAACAAGAGTCAATATTTTTGATGAATAATCAGTTATGAAAGTGAAGGTGCTGGCTTTCATCATGGCCAACATGACATTTTCCCCATGGGAAGTCAGTTTTACATCCTGTCAATATTTGTCAGCCTGGGCTAGTTAACACAAGCACAGTGTGAAAATTCTTGAGCTACTTAGATTTTAAGCAGAAGCTAAAGACAGAAAGAGCCCACAAAAATGAGTGCTTGCCTTGGTGCTAGAACAGGTGTGATGTGTGCAGGTATGTGGGCTGAGTCCCTGGGGGTCGCAGAGTGGTTGTCAGACATGGAAGATACAAACTCGTGATCCCTAACAGGAATATAAAGTCAGAAGGGAGATGGATGCATACTTACCGGGTTCCACAACCAAAACCCAAGTGGCCGTGTGGAGAAACGTCTAATTGGGCAGTAATGAGGCCGAGGGACCCAATTATCAAGTGTGCTTTTAAGAGGTGCGCTCCGTATACACCGTTAGGTGAAAAAGTCAGGTGTGTGGTACAAAACTCAAGGTTGGAATAGAAAAAAACAGGCTGCGTCCTGCCCTGCAGTGAGTGAGAGCGCACCAGGTTTCAGCACCTCGCAAAGCCTGTTGGCACCTAGGGAGCCCCTGTGGGGGCGAGTCAGAGCCTGCGCCTTCCCTCCCATGGTCACCTTTGCAGATCACAGTGCCCTGGCTTCCTTACAATCTAAAGTTCACACATTACAGGGGATTGTTTTCTACACTACTTCCTGACATTTTGTGCAAAACTTCAGAGGTACCCTTTTGTGTCTGTCTTCTATCCTAAGTTGCCCAGCATCAGTTATCATTTGCATAAAAACCAAAAAGCCTTTTTTTTTGTGCTCTTCCAACCAGCTGGTGAAGCAAGACACAGTCCCAGCTAGAGATGCCGTCTACAGTTAGAAAGGGCCTCCCTTGCTGATCAAAAAGGGCCTGAGCTAACGTGGAACAAAAAGGCTTGTGAAAGATAAGGGGTCCACGGTCTGCCTAGAAGAGCAGCCGTGAGGTGACCAATCTCAAAGACAAAGACCTTGGGGATCACAATGACACTGCAGAACTTGCTGGTAAGAATAATTTTGCATTCACACACAGAGTTAAGAAATACTTTTCAAAAAGTTTCTGACACCAAATGTCCTTTAAACACTATACAGACTCATCTGCCACTTGAAATGACAAAAGAAAGGAATCCTTTTCCTTAATCTTTTCAATCCCATGCAAACCATAATTGGGTACAAGGCACCAAATTTTAGGAATTGTATAAAATTATTTCACAAAGCTTTATCAATAAGTAAAATTCCATTTCTTGCTCCCTGCCTGCCCCCCTCCCCGCCTCCGCTTCCACTACCCCCACCCTCCCCACCCCCAGCCAAGTTTTCTTCTGCACCCCTCTTGCCCTCTTGGCCTTACACTGGGACACGCCCCACTGCCAGCCAAGCCACCTCATTGGTTCTTCCTTGGTACTTGGATGGAGCTGTAAGCAGAGCCAGAGTAGGAAACTCATACAATCATTGGCTCCAGAGCCTTGCCATTAAAAACAAAAATAAACTCTGCTATTGAGTCCATAGGACACATTAACATAGGTTTCCAGTTTTGTTCATGACCTTGTAAGAGACATCTTGGAATTCCTCCCAGTGTGGTGTTACCTCCACCCTCAGCATAAGGGGCTGGATCAAAGCTGGCAAGAGCCCTGTCCATTGACCATGAGCTTCGGTTCCTGGCTGCCGAGCTCATGCCTATTGTTTTACATTAACTTGGATACCCTCCAGGATGCAAAACCCACAAGGGTGAGGATCAAGCTGGACTGAGGTATAACTGCTTTTGGGGGATGGGGAGGGACAGGGTGCGTTCATCTGGGCTGGTCACAGTAGCAGTAAACATGCCAGCCAATTGCCAAGGGTTCCTGGAACAGGACTCCTGGCTCATTGCCCTGGGGGAGAGACAGGCCTGCTGAGGTTCATCAGGTGATCCTGGGGTTGAATGGGCAGAATACAGTCAACTCCTAACTGGTTCTTATGTTCAGCTCTTCAGACTATTTTCAGTTTAACCTAAGATGCAACTGAGACATTCATCTACTTCAGAATGTAAATAAATTAAAGGCAAAGGGACGTTTCCCTACCAATAGTCATTGGCTTATGTGGCAGGGAACTCTTAATAAACATCTCCTTAAATACTAACTTTGTAACAGTGTCTGGTGCTGCTGCCTCTGGGGACCTGAGGTGTCTGTGACTGCAGTGGGATCTTCACAGGGTGGGCTCTGTTGGCGACATTGCTGTCCTTTCTATTCCAACTCGATGTAAAACATTTCACTGGCTTAACATACATGGGCACTCAGCTAATTTAAGCACTCATTTTACAATATGTTTAATCTGCTTAATAGTCATAATATTTGGCATTAAGACTATTTGTAAAAGTCATTTTATCTTCCAGTGTTCCATTAAACGCCTGTGTTTCTTAGTATTTCCCCTTGGACAGCTTAAAGGGTGAAGCAGATGCTCTATTAGCTTTCTGGTAAGTTCTCCTTTTTCAGAGTAATAAATGTAGGGTTCACTGAAAGATGAGGCACAACTCGTGGTTTGCTTTTGTCTTCATTCTTCTTGGTGTTTCTGAGTTGATGGGCTTTTCAGTTGCCACAAGAAGTCATCACTAGTCCGGCTGACTTACAAATGCGGGTTTTAAGAACAGTGTCCTATGAGAGCCTTGGGCAGCATGGGCAGCTGTGACACTTTAAAACAGTGTCTTGGAGAGGGTGAGCCCAGGCAAAGCTTATATAAAGAATCCTGCAGTAGATAATATAAACCAAACAGCATAAAATATGCCATACGCTATCGCTTCCAAATAAAAGCTAAATATTACAGAAACCTCACAGTGTTGGAAAAAGCAAGTTTAATTTAAAACATAGTCACTCCTTCCCTATCAGGGTGAATTAGTTTCTGTCTGAATTTCTTCCATGTCTCAGTGCTGTCTGGTAAGTCCTATGGGAGAATTCATTTCAAAAAGAGGTCAACAGCAAATGCTACTGGTCTGTTTGGGAAACGGGCTCATCAATATCTGCTAAAGCTATAGCCCTCACTTTTGCCTGGTTTCCCCCACTGCCCACCCTGTCCCCAACTCTGTTCCACACTACTTCCTTCTACCTGAATTCAAACATTAACATGGTACACTCAGTCAGGAGATGAGCACTATGCATGGCAGGCTGAGCCTCCCTGCAGCAAGCCCAGGCCAGCCTGGTGCACCTGCATCGCAGTGGTGCCTGATGGTGAGGAGGGGTTGGTTTTGTCTGGACACTTTCATCCCACTTAGAAACTATCTGGACTTAAACAGATGCACATTACTAGCACTGGGATAAAAGGCGGTGCACTCCTGCTTTTTTCCCTGAAGGACTGAGAACAGGTGGAATTGAGACTTGGGAGGGAACCAGTGGTGGCCATCAGTAATAGACTGTTGGGCAGGATGGAGTGGGTTGCTTTGGGACAGCAATAGCTGGGGGACCTTGAGAACATGACTGTTTCAGCTGTCTAGGTACAAGAAAGACGCTGCATGCTGCACCAAGATAAACAGAGGTGACAGACGTTGAGGTAAGCTCTGGATCAGTGGTTGTTCCCGCCCACACTCAATTGAGTTTTGAGAAAACCTTAAGAGGCTTAAGGCCAAGTTTAAACCAGACAATATGTTTGCTCTAGACCTGAATCAGGGATCTGCTATAGAGCAGGGAGAATCAGGAGCCAGTGCCCTATGGCCCACCACACAGCAAAGTACAAGACTAGTACTTGTACTCTGCTTCCTTAGATGAACTGCCCCTTTAGAATGAAGGGATGGTCATGCCCGTTTCAGAAATGTGGAATGATAAAGTAATAGCACCAGGTAGGGAAGGAATGGCATGTGAAAACCTCCCATTTTTTCATGGAGAAATTTGCTCAGTGCCTCTCATTCTTCAACTGCTATCCTCTATAAAAGGAAGTCTTCAAGTCTTGTGGGAATAAATCCTTACACTTCACTGCCCGCCTTGGAAGCACTCCCAGCCAGGGCCCTCCTTACGCTCTGGCCAGGACTTCTCACTCAGGAAAGGCTCTGCTGTGCTGCAGGGAGGTCCTGATGAGCAGGGGAATCGCACGCTGGATCCAGCCCTCCTGGCTGGACACGATCATGCTGCTCCCTTGTTACCCAGATCCTTCTAAATTCAGAAGCGACAGATGAAAGGATCTTCATAGAAGTTATTCCCAAATCCATTCAAAAGAAAGTAGCTCCAAATCTCAGGAGAGGCCCTGGATCCCCTGGCACCTTCCACTCTAGACCAAGGGAGGCAAACCCAGTCAGCTGTTCCTGCAGCAGGCCTTATTTCCTACATGAGGAGCAATGTATAGACACCATTAGTTTGAAAGCAATACAGTCTTTGACACACGCCTCCCATTCAGGGGAACGCCCGGGGTTTGCCTTCGCCATTGCTGGACTGCACCTGAGCTTGGAGGTGGGTTTCTGGGAGCCTTCCATTGCCCTGCACTGTTCTTTGAGTGTAAAAAAGGATGTAGGCCTGGGTTTTGCATACTTCCTCGACACTGCATACATTCAGCTTTGAGTCATTGCAGTGGACCCAAAAACCTAGGAAATCAAAGAAGGGAGAGAGAGAGAATGACTACTCAACTTCTATTTTTTGTCAGCAAGCAAAACCAAGAGATGAAGAAAGGGACAGAGCTGTTCTGTAAGGTGCCACACCTTACTTATTGGTGTCAGGGAAGGGACAAGTGAGGCCAACAGGCTTCCCCATGACCACTGGCTTCGGCTGCACCAACCCGCCCAGCACATTGCTGTATCCCCTAACACTTGCCCTCATTTTACTCTGGCTTTTCATGGTCCTTTAGAGCCTTGTACAAAGATGGCCAAGGTATCAGGGCCTACACAATGGGAAGGGGGCATGGAGGAAAGGAGACCTGGAAGTAGTGGAGGGCGATAAAGGGAAATTTGGAAGGAATCATGTATGTATCCAGAGGCTGCAGTATGGCCACTCCTCTGTCTAGGTGATGGGTTTAAGAGGGTGTGCATGGCTGTGAACACACCTGCAGCCATCTGCCTCAATGCAGCGTCCAGGAGGACAAGAACCAATAATACCTTTGGAGGGGTCCCTGCGTCCCTCACTTCCCATGGTGAGGGAAGCTGTAAGGACACAACAAGTGCTCATTAAATGCCCTCAGCTTTGTTATGCACCAAGGCTAATGAGGGACATCAGTATCTCCCTGCAGTCAAGAAAACCAACACTTTGCCTTTACCACAATGATCTCTAATTGTTGACTTAGCAAGCACTATGGGGTAGGCGCTGTTTTAAGCACTTTTACACATGTCAGTTACTTTCAAAGAGCAACCTTGTTCTCTAGTGCATTGTCCAAAATCTGAATCTAATTTTCATTATTCTTTCCATAGTATGTATGTACGTTCCCCCTACATGACCTGTGGGATGAAGATAAAAAGGAAAGCAATCAACTGTGGACAAACCAACCCTTTTCCGTGTCCCCCACCCCACAGAGTCAAGCGCACGCACCTCCCTCTGTGTTGTAGCAATAGGCTGTGTAGTGTCCTGAGCCAAACCCTTTCCCGTGATGCATGACCACTGCGGAGAGATCATAGGCAAAGGTCTCTTTGTCAAGAGAGGAGAGCATGTCCCTGCAGCAGTAAGGTTCCATGGTTAATACCTGGTCAAAGACGACATGGACCCCAATCTTCTCTCGATGGTTACGGCCAGACCACCTGGAACACCGACATACACTCCTTACTAGACAAACTGGCATGTGTGACCACAGGCAGTGCTAGATAAGGCAGGGAACTGATGACGCAGAACTTTGCAGCTTTTGTATTCTCATTAATTTAAGGTGGAAGTCAAGGCCCCCCTGTATTTGCTTTGAGTTTCATGAAGAACTCTAGAGATTCTTGAACAAGCAAATCAGGCAACCACCCTTTTGTGGTTTATTGCCTGCCCTGCGCTAAGCTGATTGTTTGACATTTCACGGTGAAGATGAAGCCCCAGAAACCCCAGAAGCCCCAGTGAGGCTGGGAAATCTTGAAGCACAGACCCAGGATGCAGCTAGCCAGGGCATGAGAGTACAAGTGAGGTTCGCTGGGCTCCAACATCAGCTGGCTTTCTTGAGGGAAACCATTTCAACTTCGTGGGAGGAGTGAGGTCTCAAGGAAATGGGCTAGTGTGCTACAGTCCACCTCCCCCTGCAAGCCACCTTCTGAAGCTCACCTGAATCTTTTAAGGTGCAGCCGGAGGACCTGAGGTAGTCTGTAGATCATTAACTGCTTTCTAGCTTCACTCAGAACAAGGGGTTTGGGGTTGGATTTTCGTCGTTTGCCTATATGGTTTGAGAAGATAGAAGATACAGGTTGTGAAGAGTCTCATTCATTCCTAGTCTGGCACAGACAGTGGCTTACCACTCAACAGGCATTCTCCTTATTTCTCAGTATTTAAGCTTCAGTTTTGTCTGGGGCAGCAATGTGGTGTCTCTGTGAGGCTGTATTTCCCATTCTGCATCTACGGCCAGGGAAGTTCTGGCTAAAATGACAACTCTCAGGTTGGCTGCTTACGGAGGGCTGATTGAGTGTAAGATGAGCTGCAGCCCTCTGGCCTTCCCAGCATCTGCAACTGTTGTTTGCAATTCCTCTTAGGTCATGAAGTGACCCTGTGGCCGGGCACCTTGTGCTAGGACAGTCAAGCTCAAAGAAAGAAGGAGTCTGAGTTCCTGATGACCATGCAGCTACCACATTAGTCCCTGAATGTCCTTCAGACAGCAATTATATAATAGAACAACAAAGCTATGTCTCATTTAAAAAAATATTTATACTTATTTCTTACTTTCACCTACTTGAAAGCAGAGCAGTGGGGCATGGTAGCGGTGGGGTTGGAGAAATCTATCTCCCATCTGCTGATTCACTTTCCAAATGCCCAGATTCATTCAAAGCCAGCAGCCTGGAACTCCACCCAGGTCTCCCATGTGAGTGGTGGGGGCCCACGCACTTGAGCCATCATCTACTGCCTCCCAGGGTGTGCATTAGCAAATATTTCATCTTAAGTCACTGTTATTTGGATTGACTGTTACAAGCAATGAAACCTAATCTTGACACCTCTGCTTTCAAGTGTTTGACCTCATCAACTTCCAGAATTGTCTGATGGATTGAGGATGATGTACTGCTGACACTGTAACTTTAACTGCAGCCTGTGCACAGAGTACAGGTACAGTAAGGACTTTATGCCATTAGATATGGACTTACAAGTTCTGAGGCGCCATAATATAACTTTACTTCATTAGATAGGCCTTAATCTATTTCCTGCTCACAGATGGTTGTACGCTAATGGAGAAGCTATTCAACACTAAACCTCACAAGTAAAATGGGGGATAATGCACTTATTTTAGGCTTAAGAAAAAGATAAAGGTGTGTGTGGCACATCAGATTAAGTCACCGTTTGTGACACTGGCATCCCATATCAGAGAAATGATTCAAATCTTGGTTACTTGCCTTTGGATTCGCTCACTGTTAATGTACATGGGAAAGCAATGGAAGATGACTGAAATACCTGGGGCCCTGCTACCTACATGGGAGACCTGGATGGAATTCCAGACTCCTGGCTCTGAATGAATCAGTGGATCGAAGATCTCTTTCTATATTTCCCCCTATCTGTCAGTCTGCCTTTCAAATAAATAAAGTATAAGTCTTTAAAAGAAAAGATAAAAGGAGAGTATTACTAGAGGATAAACAAATTCAGAAAAAGATATTTACTTGAAAGGCAGAGTTACGGCGGGGGGTGGGGGGGTGGAAGAAACTGAGAAAAAAAAATCTATCTGCTAGCTCATTTCCCAAATGGCTGTGGTAGTTGGGGCTCGGCCAGGCTAAAGCTAGGACCCTAGAACTCCATCCATGTCTCTATGTAGGCGGCATGGGCCCAAACACTGGGGACGTCTGCCGGTGCGCTCATAGGTGCATTAGCAGGGAACTCGTTGGGAAGTGAAACAGCCGGGGCTGGAATCAGTGTTCTGATATTGGATGCTGGTGTCACAGGCAGGGGCTTCACCCACTGTGCCACAACATGAGTCTCTGAAAGATTTTTTTCCCCACATAATTTAACCAGTGGATTCTAATTTGTTTTTACAGCAGCTGAATTGTGGGGGAAGTGCATTTCTAAATTGTAGCAAATAGTTAATGAAAATAAATTTCTCTAAATTTCTTTCAGAAGTCTTCTCCCCAGTCCATTTGCTGATGACTGCTGTTATTACATTAATTAAACTAGTAAATGGATGGAAATATAAAATCAGTGGTCCTTTGTGGTGCCTGCTAATTGTCCCTGAGCCATTAACACCACGGCCTCGGTGTCTGAAAAGCTTGGCATCTAATTGCAAGTCTTGCTGTGCCACTGTAGAGCAGTGAGTCACACAGCTTCATGTGACAATGAGATGTGGTGGTGCTTCTCCAACAGACTGTATCAGAACAGGTGTCTCATAGGACTGCAGGGCTGCAGCTCGTGGGGGCATGAACAGAAAGAATTCAAAGAGAAGCCTGGCCCCCTTTTCATGCCTCTTCATTGGATTTTTGTCTAAGAAGACTGGCAGTGACTGCCACTCTCAGCAGAGGGAGCATGTGAGCTAAGATGAAGACAAGATAGGGTCTGGCTTTGTTTCTGTAAATGAAATTCACAAAGAAAATTGATGATCTGATTGGGATTGATCAGTTCTGTCTCTGTCTGATTAAGCTGGCCACACAGACAGGCGGACAAGACAGTTCTGCAACTTCACAAGCAATTGATCATTGCATCTCATCCCTTCACTATAGTCTTCTTTTCCTGCCAGCATGTGCACCTGCCAAGAGAAATTCCGACACGCTGGCACATCTGGCAACCGGAAAAAAGTATTTTCTTAAAAAATAAAAACATTTTTCATCTAATATATCATATCCAAGAAGGGTAAAGTAGTTGATATAGTTTTATCTGTTAAAATACAGATATTGCTCTAATCATACTATTTAACTCATCTTTCTCTGTATCTCAAAATGGGAAAAGGTCAAGAGATTTCAAATTTTCTTATTCATTTTTATTTTATTTGAGTGACCGAAAGAGAGAAAGACAAAGAGCTTTTATCTGCTGATTCATTGCCCAAATGCCTGCAATAGTCAGCATTGGGAACTCAGTCCAGATCTTCCAACCACAGATCTGACTCCTTGGGCCCTCCCCTGCTGCCTATCACTGTGTGTATCAACAGGAAGCTGGATCAGAGGCAAAGGAGGGACTCAAACCCAGGAACTCACTTGGGATGTAAGTGTGTCAAATGCCTCCTGACTGCTGAGCCAAAAGTCTGCCCATAAATTTTTTTCTTTCAAGATTTATTTATTTTTATTGCAAAGTCAGATATACAGCGAGGAGGAGGAGAGACAGAGAGGAAGATCTTCCGTCTGTTGATTCACTCCCCAAGTGACCAGTACGGCCAGTGCTGCACCTATCTGAAGCCCGGAGCCAGGAACTTCCTCCAGGTCTCCCTCATGGGTGCAGGGTCCCAAAACTCTGGGATGTCCTCGACTGCTTTCCTGCAGCAGGGAGCTGGTTGGGAAATGGAGCTGCTGGGACTAGAACCGGCACCCATATGGGATCCCAGCATGTTCAAAGCAAGGACTTTAGCTGCTAGGCTACTGTGCCGGGCCCCATAAATTTTTGTTTTAAAGTGGAAAAAATGGTATCAAGTATGAATTGGACTTTTGTTGTGATTTTTTAAAAAAATATATTTTATTTTTATTGGAAAGGCAGATTCACAGAGAAGGTGAGACAGAAAGATCTTCTGTTCTCTGGTTTACTTCCCAAGTGGCTGCAACAGCTGGAGCTAAGCTGACTCGAAGCCCGGAACCAGAAGTTTATTCCGGAGCTCCCATACAGGTGCAGAGTCCAAAAGCTTTGGGCCATCCTCTACTGCTTTCTCAGACCATAAGCAGGGAGCTGGATGGGAAGTGAACAGCTGGGACATGAAATGGTGCCCATATGGGATCCTGGGGCTTACAAGGTCAGCCATCATGCCAGGCACTCTGTCCAATTTTTAAAGAGCAGAATAGGTTTCCCATAATTTATTATTTAAGAAAAACCTGAGTAAAATATATAGAAAGGTCTATTATAATTTCTGCTAAAATTGGTAGTCCAAACTTTCACAGCTGTAAATTTATCTCAAGGACTCTACATAATGTGTGCCTGTGATTTAAAGATTTATTTATTTCTGAGGCAGAGTGACAATTTGGCCTTTTGGCTAAGATCAAGTTTAGTATCAAATTTAGTATTAAAAGCAGAGTGACAGATGACATAGAAAGAGAGGAAGATCCCTCTTCCACCCACTGGTTCATTCTTCAAATAGCTGCAAGAGCTAGGACCATGTCATGAGCCCAGAACTCCATCCTAGGCTCTCATGTGAGTGGAAGAGGCCCAAACACCGGGGCCATTATTTTCTACCTTCCTAGGACATTAGCAGGAAGTTGGATTGGAAGCAGAACAGCCAAGACTTGAACCAGCACTCCAATATAGGATGCTGGGGTTCCAAGTTGTGGCTTTACCTGCTGTGTCATAAACTGTCCATTTTACAACTTTGGTTTGCAAATTTTTATATGCCATAAAACCCAAACAGAAGCTTCTCTATATCTGCTTTGAATTTCTTCTGTACATATTGGGTGAGTGAAAGCACTGGTGTTAGTATGACCAGACAGAAGGGCTCCTGTACATGATGCCCATGAAACCATATGAAAACGGTTCCACTTTAAGATGAAAGTCATTAGAAAGTCTGCCCTTATAACTCCCTCTTAAATATGAACATTTCAGACACATGGAAAAGGGGGAAAATGCAGAAAATATCCCTGAAGCTGCCACTTAACAATGTATTTCAAAACTTGGGTTTCGGTGAGAAAATTTTTAAAACAGATTTTAGCCTAACTCTTGGCAGATGTTTCTGCTAAAAGAATAATTTCCCAAGTCTATATAAAAGCATGCTTTTCTAGAGCCACAGTTTCAACTGCCTCTACATATCAAGCAATGACCACCAGAAGGAGTCAAACACGGCCCAACTCATGGGCCTTTGTTTTAAAATATATGAGCAGTCCCATGGGCCCAGCACCATGGCCTAGAGGCTGAAGTCCTCACCTTGAGAGTGTCAGGACCCCATATGGGTGCCAGTTCTAATCCTGGCAGTCCCGCTTCCCATCCAACTCCCTGCTTGTGGCCTGGGAAAGCAGTTGAGGATGGCCCAAAGCCTTAGGACTCTGCACCAGTGTGGGAGAGCCAGAAGTGGCTCTGGGCTCTTGGCTTCAGAAATGTGCCTGCTGGGCCTGGCACAGTAGCCTAGCAGCTAAAGTCCTTGCCTTGAACATGCTGGGATCCTATATGGGTGCCGGTTCTAATCCCAGCAGCTCCATTTCCCAACCAGCTCCCTGCTGCAGGAAAGCAGTCGAGGACATCCCAGAGTTTTGGGACCCTGCACCCATGAGGGAGACCTGGAGGAAGTTCCTGGCTCCGGGCTTCGGATAGGTGCAGCATTGGCCATACTGGTCACTTGGGGAGTGAATCAACAGACGGAAGATCTTCCTCTCTGTCTCTCCTCCTCCTCGCTGTATATCTGACTTTGCAATAAAAATAAATAAATCTTGAAAGAAAGAAAGAAAGAAAGAAAGAAAGAAAGAAAGAAAGACAGACAGACAGACATAAATGTGCCTGGGAAGGTTGCAGAAGATGGCCAAAGTACTTGGGCTCCTGCATACAAGTGGGAGACATGGATGAGCTCCTGGCTCCAGGCTTTAGTCTGGCCCTTTGCCGGCTCCTGCAGCCATTTGGAGAGTGAACCAGTGGACAGACATGCACACTTGCTCTCTCTTCTTGTCTTTCCTTTTCTCTATAGCTGCCTTTCAAATAAATAGATAAATCCTTTTTAAAAATGTAAAAATGCTTTAAAATCATTCAAACACTACTTTGGGTTTGAGGGGCGAAAGAATCCCCTTCAATTGACACATCCCCACTACCCACGGCCCCTACCCCTCCACATGGCACTCACTATTACACTGGTCACAAGCGTAGATTCTCCCTTCCAGAGCCTCCGTCTCTGTAAACTTGGCCAGCATCTCGGTGAGCAGGCACTCTGTCTGATTCAGAGGGACAAATCCCTTTTCCATGCAGTGATAGCGCTCTGGAAATTCCAGGGAAAGATCCCAAAAGGGCTCAATGGTATTGGATTTGTAATTACATGATACACAAGTGACCTACAGTGAAAAGATTTGAGTTATAGGTTATAAATGTTAGTTCTCACACACATTTTAGTTGGCTTTAAATAAGATACATAGTTTTGTAAAAACTAAAGGCTGTGATTTTAAAATTTTAGTATTCAAATAAACCAAATTTTAATAAGAAGAATTAGAACACATGGCCTTGGCTGGGAATGCAAAACCACACAACCAAGAGATTATATCCACCCTTTCTCCTCTCCCAAAGTCTGCTCTGGCCTTCGGTGCCTTCATGGCATCCTAGGCGGAGATGGAGAATTCACAGGTCCCTGGCAGCTTCTGTCACCCCTGCATTCTGCTTCCACACTGCCCATCTTGCCATTTTTGCCCTTGTTTCTTGAAGGCTCTGTACTAATCCCTCCGTGTACACAGTCTCAGAGTGCTGTGTTAGACGCCTCACCTCACTATACACTTCCCCCAGCACCTTTCTTCCCAAGGAGAGTATGCGGAGGCAGTGCTGGGAAATACTGCATTTCTGTGTGGGGTGGGGGTGCAGGAGTAGGTGAGGGGAACCTTCAAAAAAAAACTCTTCCCATCCCACTTTTCTTTCAAAATCTAAAAACCAAGACATAAAACTTGATTAGCACAGCATAGATGGTTTACTTGAATTTTCTAAGTTGCTAGCTCCCCAACCACATTTGGAAACATTTATTGGTGATGGAGAGAGAGAAAGACAGACATTCATCTGCTGATCCACTTCCCAAACGGCTACATCAAGCAGAGCCTCAACTAGGTGCTGGGAACTCCATCTGGGGCTCCATTGTGAGTGACAGGAGCCCAATCACCTGAGCAATCAGTTAACTGCTGCCTCCCAGTGAAGGAGGACACTAATCAGGCCTGAACCCAGGTTCTCCAACACAGGACACCAGCATCCCAACTGCTAGCCCTGCTAGAAAGATGTGCAGTCTGCATCTTTTTTTTTTTTTTTGCCTAGGGCTCTGTGTGGCTACAGACCCAGGAAATGAAAAGGGTCTCTGTTGTGTTCCTGGCTTCCTCCCTTCCTTGTACATATGGAGGAAGAACTCTATTTTAAACCACTAGGGAGACTAGGATTTCAGATAAACTATTCTGTTTTCTAACATTGATGACATAGAAATAACAATATTATATTATATATTATATAATTATGTTTAATTATATATTATATAATTATATATCATATTATTATAACAATAAAAATATTATATACCTATACTTATCATGCGCTGAAAATAAAGCTGAATGGTCAAATGAACCAGGATAGAAACAGCCCTTACGTTCACCAACAAGGCCATCACAATGCACAGTTCAGCGAAAGGCACCAGGGCTAGCCTCAATTACACACTCCCAGCTAACACTGGCTACGTAGATGGGCCCAATGTTCCCAAATGGGGTTCGCCAGGAGCCCAGGCTGACACCCAAGTCTCTCCCTTGTCGGCTGGGTACACACCTACCTGACTGAGCAGCTGCCCGTGAAATATAGTGTTTACCACCTTTAAGACCTGTTTGGTGAGTTTCCGCTGGGAGAAGGGGATGAGGATCCGGCGCGTAGCGCCCTCCGATTCCAGCTCCTGCTGCACTTTATGCAGAAGCTCACAGAGAAATTCCTGTGCGTCCTGCTGGTCGTAGCCACGGAAGGCAGGGATCAGGCTCCACACCGAGTGCAGCATGGCGAAGGGTGACACCAGGGCCCACTTCCCCGACCACATGACTCGGAAGAGCGTGTGCAGTTCGTGGCAGAGGGAGATGTGCTTCGAGCTGGGCTCCTTGTTCTGGATGAGCTCCAGGCTCCGGCTGATGGACGCGCCACCTTTCCAGCAGAAGCCCTCCCGCTGGCATGCCTCGGCCCTGTGGCTGCGCGCTGACAGCTCAGTGGCTGAATTGCTGACCGACTTGCCTGAGAGCTGAGTCCTCCCGTTGGTGGCTTGGGGAAACAGGTGTTCTGTTGTGGAAGGGTCGAGGTTCAGGAAACATTCCCGGAACTTCTGGAGGTGGCTGAGCACCTGTAGAATGGAGTTCATGTAGCACGTGTTGCCCAGGTTGCGCAGGCCCGTGACGCCCGGGGCCACTGCTGGCTGGCGACGTGGCTTGAGCACCGTGGAGGCGGGGGTCACTCGGCGTGAGGTAGGCAGGGCTGCGGGGCCGCTGGCGGCGCGTGGCGTGTGCAGGAGCAGGCGTGCACTCTTGCGCGGAGGGGCGCTGGCCAGTTCCTCCAGCAGCCGTCGCTTGACCTCGCGTCTCCGCTGCCGTGCCTCCTCCTTCTTGCGCTCCAGCGCTTCCTCTTGCCGCTGCTGCTCCAGCTTTGCCTGGCCTCGGGAACTTTTCTCGAACCACAGCCGCAGGGTCTTGGCCAGCAGGCGCTGGCGCCGGTACCACAGAGCCGTGAGCATCTGCGGCTGTCCCTGAGGCGCGCGCTGCGGCGGGACCACATCCTCACCCGCAGCCATGGACCGCAGCGTCCGTCCGCGTCGCACCGGCGGATCCAGCTCCTGGCCGCGGACCGCCAGGAGGGAGCTTGTCAGCAGCTTCAGATCCCCCTCGGGGTTGTCATTGAGCACGTAGTCCTCGCACAGGTAACAGAACACGTACAGGTCCCGTACTTCCATGGCCAGAGGGTGTCCCGTCTCCTTGAAGTGCTTTCGGGCGTGGTCTTCGATGTAGTGGCCGCAGGCCACGTGGGAGCACTTGAGACAAGCCCACACAGACTCTGTGGTGGCGCACTCCAGGCAGCGCCACTTCTGAGGGTTCAGGATGGAGTGGTCCTGGGCGAGCCGTAACCGCCCTACATGTTTGCATCTATCCATGTCTTAGAGAGGTTGCCACGCTCTTAACCTGGTACGATAGAGACCCCCAAAAAGGAAAAAAAAAAAAAAAACTTTTAGTGAAATACTTTCTTAGAAAAAGGCTTACAAGAGGTTCAAATAAAAAGGCAGTCTTACATGAATTCTGATGTATTCAAAGCAGAGTTGATACAGATAAGACAGATAAGAAAAAGATCCTCCCATACGGCACAGAGTATCATTTTAATGATTTATAGCTAAGGGAGGTAGACTGCAAGTGTCCATTTAAGTAACATTTTAATGTGTCATTTTCCAAAGAACGATTACATCTTGTAGAAAGTGTGGTTGTGGCCCAGTGCAATGGCTCAGTGACTAAATCTCGACCTTGCAAGCACTGGGATCCCACAAGGGCATCAGTTTGTGTCCCAGCTGTTTTGTTTCCCATTCAGCTCCCTGCTTGTAGCCTGGGAAAGCAGTCAAGGATGGACCAAATGCTCGAGACCCTGCACCTGCGTGGGAGACCCAGAAGTAGTTCCTGGCTTGCTATTGAACTCAGCTTTGGCCACTGTGGCCACTTAGGGAGTGAACAGAAGATCTTTCTTTCTGTATCTCCTTCTCTCTGTAAAACTGCCTTTCCAATACAAAGAAATGAATCTTAAAAAAAAAAATAAAAATAAAAACGGTGTGTGTGCACCTTCTTTATAGTAAAAGCATGGGTAAGTAAGGAGTTAAAATTTTTAGTTAGGATGAGAAGAGCAATTACTGATGGTATTAAAGCCTCTACTGAGAAATAAGGGGGAAAAAAGCAACAAATCTGCCATATGAGCCATGTGAAAATGCTTTTTAAAACAGTAGTCAGGGACCCATGTTGTAGTAAAGCATATAAAGCCTCCACTTGTGATAGTTCTGGTTCCAGTCCCACTTCCTGCCAAGCCACCCAGGAAAGCAGTGGAAGATGGCCCAAGTGCTTGGGTCCCTGCCATTCACTCCAGAGACCAGGACGGAGTTCCTGGCTGTTGATTTCAGTCTGGCCTGGTCCTGGCTGTTGCAGCTATCAGGGGAGTAAACCAGCAGATGGAAGATCTCTCCCCACCTCCCATTTCCCTCTGTCACTTTGCCTGTCAAGTAAATAAATAAATTTATCTTTTAAAAACAATGTTGCTATACAGTGAGCTTTCTCCCCCCACCCCAGACATTTCTTCAGTATCTGTGAGAACCCTAGTGGACAGAATTCCCACTGGTAACTTCTCAAGGGAAATAAGTCAGAAAACTAATTTTTTAAAAGATTAATTTTTTTGAAAGGCAGAGTGACAGAAAGGGAGAGGAGAGAGAGGAAAAGAAGAAGAGAGAAGATAGTTTTTCACCCACTGGGTCATTCCCTAAATGGCTGTAACAGCTTAGGTCTGGACCTGGCTGAAGGTATGAGCCAGGAGCTCCATCCTGGTCGCATTTGGGTGGCAGAGGCTGCCTTCTGCCACCTCCTGCTGCCTTCCTTAAAGGAAGCTGGACTGAAAATGGAGTAGCCGGGATTCAAACTAGCATCCTAACATACGGTGTTGTGGTCCAGTACAATGTTGGCTTCTGGATAACTATTTTGTTTTCTTTTATAAGATTTTATTTACATATTTGAAAGGCAGAGTTACACAGAGAAATCTTCCATCTGCTGGTTTTGGTGGTCAAGAGCTTCATCCAGGTCTCCCATGTGGATGCAGAAGCCCGAAAGCTTGGGCCATTTTCCATTGCTTTCCTAAGTACATTATCAAGAAGCTGGACCAGAAGTGGAGCAGCCGGGGGCCCGGTACGATGGTGCAGTGGTTAAGGTCCTCACCTTGCATGCCCAGGATGCCATATGGGTGCCGGTTCTAATCCCGGCAGTCCCACTTCCCATCCAGCTCCCTGCCTGTGGCCCGGGAAAGCAGTCGAGGACAGCCCAAAGCTTTGGGACCCTGCACCCGTGTGGGAAACCCAGAAGAGGCTCCTGGCTTCAGATCGGCATAGCATCGGCTGTTGCGCTCACTTGGGGAGTGAATCATCGGATGGAAGATCTTCCTCTCTGTTTCTCCTCTCTGTATATCCACCTTTCCAATAAAAATAAAATAAATCTTAAAAAAAAAAAAAAAAGAAGTGGAGCAGCCGGGACTCAGACCAGTGTCCTTATGGGATGTTAGTATTGTAGAGGGTGGTTTAACACACTATATCACAATGTTGGCTTCTGTTGATGACTATTTTACAAGAAAGCTTTTTATTCTTTTGAACCCTGGTTATTTCTTTCCCCCTTCAATATCAGTATTTAAAATCCCAAAAAGGTGATTCCTGAGCTTCCTTTGAGCAAATGCAGCTCAGTGATTACCAGGTGAGCCACAGAGTCTTAACCCTGCATACTCTGGGCTGTCCCTTTGTTGTTCAGATGCCCTTTTGGCCTGGTCTATTACTAAAACCCACAAAGTAAGTATATTACAGGGGCCAACTCTAGGGGCTTCCCCTTCTTACCATCTGTGTAAAGGAAACCTTCAGACCACACAAAAGAAAACACCCCAGATTCACCCATCTCGTTAAAGGTTGTTTTCCCTTTGAACACTGCCAGGATTTAGTTTCTACTATATTATGTTTTTATTATTCTAGTTATTGCTTTTAAAAAGAAAGATTTATTTATTTCAAAGGGAGAGTTTCAGAGAAAGACAGAGAGATCTTCTATCTTTTGCTTTACTCCCCAAATGACTGCAATGGTTGGAATCTGAGGCCAGGATTCAAGAACTTCTTCCAGGTCCCCCACATGGGGACAGGAGCCCAAGGACTTGGGCCATCCTACTCTACTGCCTTTCCAGGCCACCAGCAGGGAGCTGGATGAGAAGTGGAGCAGCTGGAACCAACGGGGTCCTTAAGGGATGCTGCCATTGCAGGTGTTGGCTTTACTTGTTACGCCACAGTGCTGGCCCCCTTCATTATTATGTCCCCATTCACTTGTTGCTAAGTGTCCTTTCATCATTTCTCTGGATGTGTGTGTCCATTCTCTGACTAGTTATAATCTCCTCCCAAAAAAAGATCTTTTATGGTTTTACTCTTATAATGTCAGGATTATGGGTGCTTGGCTCTTAGTAATAAAAATATTCTGTCAGAATTACCCTTGCACACAGTCCTGGATGGTAGTGAAATGATCATTTTTATTCCCTTTTTTAGGGCATAGTCAAATGGAAACATATTTATATTGCTCCTTGATATCAGTTAAGAGTACAAGTTGGGTACACATGATGCTTACACTCAATTACTGGGATATAAAAAGATCAACAATGAAGGAATGAAATGAATGGGAAATCAAGAGATCGGCAACTTCCATATTTCTCATTCAATATTTATTTTTCACTGCAGGTCACTGAACCACCTCTCCCCCTTAATATTTGTTTTAGTTCTCTGAAAGGCAGAGTGACAGAAAGGGAGACAGAGAGGTCTTCCTTCAACTGATTTATTCCCCAAATGGCTGTAAATTTCCCAGGTGAATTAACAAGACACTGGATGCGGATTTGAATCAGCACTCTGATGTGGGACGCTGGGGTTGCAGGTAGTGGCTTTAACCTGCAGTGTCACGGTGGCAGTGGTAGTGGTGGACTACTCTAAAGAAGGGCTCGGAGCCTGGAGAGGGGGCTAAAATACTCACTTTAAACATGCCATAGATGATGATTCTTTTGCATTTTAGTCTAATGAACGTTAGAGAAATGAGTAATTCCTTACAGAAACCAGAGAAAGAATTTAATTCCTTGCTTATATCAATGACTGTTTTCTGCAATGATGGAACTATTCCCTGTCTGTGCTGTCCAGTACCTCAGTAACTAGTCACATGTGACTGCAGCATACTTGAAATGTGGTTATGGAGAATGCAGGCCTGAATTTTGAAGCATATTTGATTAACTGAAATCTAAATATTAGTCGTATGTGGCCAATGGCTACCATATTAAAATAAGACAGGCTTAAATACACTGGAAATATTCAGCTCACTCAGCCTTTCTTCCTGTTTTCTTTCTATAGACATAGTACTACTTGCTGGATAAAATCTGAACTATCTTCTCTTATAGCTCAAAACCTTATAGGTCTTATATCTCAAAAAAAATCCCCATTTTATCCTCGATGTGTTCAGCAATTTAACTGCTATTGAGATTATATCATATAAAATATAGCACAGATTCAAATCATGCAAAGATAAAATACTGCTGTAAACAGGGATAAAGCAACACCACATACAGAACATTGGTACCTTACAAAATCATCTGCTGTGCTAGAACCAATCTGCTAGAACAATCAAAAGGACAACTAGGACCTGGCACTGTGGCCTAGTGGCTGAAGTCCTCGCCTTGAACGTGCTGGGATTTCATATGGGCGTCGGTTCCAGTTCCAACGCTCCACTTCCCATCTAGCTCCCCGCTTGTGGCCTGGGAAAGCAGTCGTGGACGGCCCAAAGCCTTGGGACCCTGCACCCATGTGGGAGACTGGAAGAGGTTCCTGGCTCCTGGTTTCGGATCGGCGCAGTGCTGGCCGTTGCGGCCACTTGGGGAGTGAATCATTGGATGGAATATCTTCCTCTTTGTCTCGCCTCTTCTCTGAATATCTTACTACGTAATAAAAATAAATGAATCTTAAAAAAAAACAACAACTAGAAATAGATGTACTAACTCCACACACCCTCCCCAAGGAAAACTGTCAAATGGAAAAGGTGCTCTGCAAAATCTAGCTTCTGATTTCATTTTCTGATCTCTAAATCTACTGACCAAGCATGTTGTTTCCTGCACAGTCCTTTTCCCATTACAGATACGTCATTAAACTGCCAGATGGCAGAGTAAATCCATTCAGCACGACACAGGGCTGCTTTGCACCTCACCATGCTGATCTAAGGGAGGCCGACCAACTTGTCTAGACAAACAGCACACGCATCTGACCATGAAATGGGAGTCTCCTAAGAGAGATACAATAAAAAGAGCACTTGTTAGAGTCAATGGAGAACACAACTTCAGGTTGGCTCAGCTCAAGGAAGATAACATGCTTGACC